ATCCTCTAACTTTAGCTGGTTATACACTGCACTCAATGACCTTGTAATTACGATTTCCAATTATGCAAAATACTTACGTAAGCAGCGGGATGTAATAACTTCAAATCATACAAAGGAAATACCTGTTCAAAGTATAGAAAAAGCTACATCAGTAAATATATATAAAAGTAATATTTGGATAGATTCGTCTAATAAAATAAAATATAAAAAACTTAAAAATATCCTAAAAGATTTTCTAATATGAAAACCAATAAATCTTGAAGAACATCTATCAAAAGAACCAATGTAAGTATATAATTTAATATATATTGCACTTATAAATACATCAATTAATGGCTTATCTTTCATTTTAGGCAACACTTACATTTTATTCAAGGCCTCTCACAGGTGTTTACTTTTAAGATCAGAGAATACTGTTATAGTTCTGGGAATAATGCTTACAATGTTATATCAATTTGGAAAATTGATGAAAATGCTACTCAGTCAAAAATTGTGCAAGAAACAACACGTATTACAAGAGAGTTACAGAATGAAGCACCTCTATACCATACATGCATCATGCAAGCTAATTTCATGTGCATCTGTGATTTGCTGTTGCCTATGGTTAAACCAGCTCTATTATGAACAATTTATCGTATGCTAACAGGAGATATGTCAGCTGCTGAATCTGCAAATGAAAAAAAGGTAGATAGTCATGTAAAATTAGTTTTAGAGCTTGACGACCCCAATATTACAGTTGACCTTCGGGAACATAATAAGGGAAGACCAGAAAAATATAATGCTTTTTGGGAAGCAGCAGTCCGTTTTCTCTCGAGGAAAGCAGCAGATCTAGTAACCGCAGTTGACAAACGACATCACGATCCAATTGTACACCTTGCTATAGCAATTTCAATAAACGATCTACTTCAACAACTCAAAAATGAATGCCCACCAGATATGCCAATTCCCAGTGCTCAATGGCTCAGGTTACAATTCTGGCCTAAAAACTCAACACATCTAACTAGTCTACAATATACAGCTTGCTTACCTTTAAAATTCATGGTGCAAACTCGACAATTATGAGCCAATCATCCAGATTCTCACTATGCATCTGCAATCTTTCAGTATGAAAAAGAGTTTGCTATTAAGTTTCGCAACATTACAATACTTGTTTTTCTGGATGATAAGCACTGATGTAAAATCAGAGAACCTGGTCATCCTATAGCAGCAGTAGAAAAGGGGAAATGAGTAATAGTAGGAAAAGATACGACATTCGCAATAAGTGACCATAATTTTGCAAAGGCCGGAATGGTGCCAAGCATGACAATGTTTTGTGATATCCCTGAAACAATTGATGGAGATTTTTACAGAGGAGAAGTATGCATTGGTCTTAAAGACCCTATTTTTCAGCCCTCCACTCCCTTATGCCATATGACTGAACTTCATAACATCTTTCTAACACAAAAAATACTCAATCCCATCTTATGCCTTTACACAGACAGTGGCCTTGACCACTGGTGCACATATATGCAGGTTCAGTTATCTTACATTTGTTTATTCTTAGCATTTGATCTTGATTATCTCGTTGCAGCAAGAACACCACCCTCGCATTTCTGGAAGAACCCTGTTGAACGTATAATGTCGATGCTCAATCTAGGATTACAATGCATCAGGTTGATGTGTAGCAAAATAGATGATAAATATGAAAACCTTATTAATAAAGCAAACTCTATGAAAGATATCCAGGAAATTGCAGAATCAAACCCTACCTTGAGAGATGAACTAATAAAAAGTATCTAGGAGCCAATTAGTTTTGTTCGTGAAATATTTGAATGACAATCCTTAAAAGGCGTGCCCTTTAAAATGTTTAATGCTGCAATGAACGAAGACATAGAACAGTTTTGGGAGAACATTCTTCTAATCAATGACACTATAACATATGATGATTATGAAATGAAAAATTTAAAACAACAGGTAAAGATCTATTTATACAGTCAACTATGGATATAATGGAATTCTTAAATTATAGCCCATTATGTCTCATATTTTACTATAATATAATCCAACAAAAACATAAATCAATAATAACTGTTTTTAAAAGCCATGCTTGAAAGAATTTTTTGACCACTATTGCACGGCAAGGCATTATTTTTTTATGATAAAAAAGTATGGTGAGAATAGTTGTTCAATTTGCCTACCACCCCGATGCCCACATGAAATATTTACTCAACTATACAACCTTCCTGATCCTGTTCCTGGAGAAGATTCGCATTATAAATCTTTTGGAAAACTTTATGGCACTGATACAACGGAAAAGTACAGACCTTCATGCGAAAAAGCAATTTCTAGAACAAAATATGCTCAAACAAGAGGAAGAGGTAAAGGAAAAGTGAACTATACAATGCCCTTTTGTCCCTCTGCACTGCATGCCAGAAATGTTGGAATTACTGTTAGTTGCGTAGAATGTGAAAAACCAAAACTATTATTTAGTGCAAAAAAATTACTGGAAAAGGATTATCAAATACTTCGTCAATTTCTCGATACAATCCTATACATCTGCGGAACTGCCTTTCAAAATACCTGCGAGTTATCACTTACTATGCCACCTAGACAACATTATGAATCAGGTGAAATTCCTGAACATGATGACTATAGTTACGATAATGATTCTGTTTCTGGTCCTAGCAATTTTAACCAAGAACATAATACCAGTAACATTGAGGGTGATGAAAGCAATGATGATATGCAAAGTGATAAAAGTGGTGATGAAAATGTACAAAGTGATGAAAGCGATCAAGAAAATGAAATTAATGAAATGGACAATACTTGTCCTAAAGAACCTAATAACAAAAATACAAAAGATGCAGTTAATGACCCTATCAGGGAAATTTTTAAGTACGTTTTCATCAATGACTCTTGAACCTGTGACTCTCCAATTGAAAAACCATATTATTCAGCATCAATCTATCCAAATGTTTGTTACCTGTGTGGTAGCCTTGATGTCAATCAGCCTGTTCCTCAAGATATCAGACATACCCCTCATTCTAATGAAAAATGACCTAAATGCAAAAACTGTGTTAGTTCAAATGGTTTAGCTAAATGACAGAATTCATTTGTCAAAGGTAAAAAGACTAAAAAACATTCATAGCAAGTTCTCGAGCAGTGAAAAAAAATTAATATGCATATGTGCACCCTGCACATAATTTTTCACACACACATTTGTTGATATATACAATCAAAGACATGTGCACTTTGTGCACTAAATTTCAAATTTTTGACACTGCTCTAGAAAATAGTGATTTGATGAAAATTTTTTTTTCTCTATAGTAAAAAATAATGTTGATTCATTTATTAGCAGAATAATAAAATAGTTTATTAATACTATCTATTTCTTCGAATGAATGGATAGAAAATTGCCATAAAAGCGCGAAATAATGTTATTTTCAAAAATAGCATACGTATTTCGAATTAACGCACATTCAAATATAACTAGTAATTATATGTATACTCATCAATCGTCCAGATTCACCTTTATTTTGAAATAACACACATAATTATACCTGAAATAATGCGCACGTCAATTAAATAACGTGAGTGGGAGTTATTTAGTGCCTGTACAGTATTAATTTTTCTTTTTAATTTGTAAAAGCTTGATATACAGAAATGTGACCTGTACAACATAGTAAGTTAGCATTAAAGTGACTGCTTACTTAATTCAGATAGTGAATAGTTAAGAGTAGCGAATGTGGTGTGTCCCTTGTAATAGATCATAAAATTCTATGTAGTTTAAACTAATTACTGAAATGAAATCTAGAACAAATTAGTAAACCTAAAGAGACTAGTAAAAGAGAGCGAAGTAGTTAGATCAAAATTGTACTGTACGTGCAAGGACGAGGGTGTTCACAAAGATAGGAATTTTGAGTAATTAACTAATAAAATTTCAAAAAGAATGACAAGTCAGGTGATTACAGTCATGGGGACAACCCGGTTTATTTATTTAACTAAATAGTCTTTTGTGTACTGATGAATCTGATTGGTTAATACTATGCTGCGCCTCTAAAATTTAAATTTTTCTACTCAAGTTTTATGACCTGGCCAGGTTATGAGAAATAGAAAAAATTTTTTATATGGCCTTAGATTTAATATTATTAATAAACTTTTTAATTTATTTTAAAAAATATAATGTATCAGAAGTAATAATATAACTTATATTAAATATGTAAAAATATTGATAAAAAAAAAATACTTTTATTTATTATTACTTAAATAATTAACATGTTTATTTTATTATAATTTTACAAACTGTTTTCAAAAGGTGCATATTCTTTAAAAGATATTTAAAATTTTTTTTTTTTTTTAACCTTAAGCAGTTATGCTAGTACTTTATTAAGATTCTTGAAATTATATATTTATACAATAATATAGAATTTTCCAATATCTAAGTCTAGTATCACTCAGCCACTCTAACAGTACCTAAGTGCAACCTGCTGCATTATCTTAGTTAAAGATAGACTGCTTATTTAACTACTTAAAGCCATACCAGAAAGGTCTTCTCTCTTCTATGACAAGCATATTTATTGTCTTTAAAGTTTCTTTCTTCATTTGGTTTAACTTTTCTGCTTTTCTTTCTTTTTTTTTTTTTTTTGCTTGTTTATCTTTTTTTACCCTCTTCTTTGTTTTTTTTCTTGCACAGGCACCTTTTTTTATTTTGTTTGTTATATTGATCTTTTTCTCTTAGACTTGTATTTTTTTATATCGCATTCTCTATACTTGGTTATAGAAGGTATTTTATACTATTCTTGTTACTATATTTATGCACTTCTGTGTTGTCTGCTTGCTTAAGAGTTACTTGAGTCTTTTCCCTACTTTTAGCATTATAAGTCCCTTTATTAGTACTCTTCTGTTTGTGA